GCCCCCCCCCCCCCCCCCCTACCAGATCATGCTGGATCCATCCCTGACGATATTACACGTTTTGGAAGGCAATTCCTGTAAGATAAATAGTCTTTATGCATGGATCAGACATTGGCTGATCTTCGCTACATATGTTATACCGGCACAATAATGTAATTCATCGTCAAATGGAAGCTCCTCTTCATGGCCATGACCCTGCTGAAAACTCAGTAGTGGAGTAGTATATAATAATTATATTTTATAATGATGGATTTATTCGATGGATTTATTCGTGGGATGTACTACATGTATGCAGATTGCATGTGTAAAAGCCCTCCCGAATACCTGTAATATTTTGAATATTACGCAAACACGACACATATAAGAATAATATATTTAGACTTAATACTACATACTTGGTGGTATGGATTTGGTGGTATGACCATCCCAGCCAACAAAATTCAAAAGTGAACCCAACATCGTCACCTGTGGAATAACAAAATTCAGATTAACTGCCCTTGTCCACTACGAACTATAAATATTTCTCCATTATTACATGAAGAGCATAATATTTAGACTGAGAACGTGCGCCAACTTGGTTTTCTATGTAGTGAATACAGCGTCACCTTCTTCTTGAAACACGGACATTTTATACACCTTCCCGCAAATACTCAAGTGCATGGATTCGGTTGTACAAACTACAAAGACCGGTTTTGGCCATCCACCATGTAGGGATTTTTCTTAGTATTTATAAATTAATGTTTTCTTTATTTATTGTCGGCGTCTATACCTGTGGTTTGACAGTTTTTCAAGCTTTTTTTTAGTTTTTTTCAAGTTTTTCAAGCTCAGTTTTTTTACAATATAGCATTACTGGGGTACTATTCAGCTTCTATAATGCCCTTACCTTGACTGCTTTATCAGACGGGTTGGTAACAGTGTAATTGAATATGATCATTGGAATAGCGCTGTCATCGGCACATAACGGAACACAAGGATTGAATGCTTCTAGTTTAACATGAACTGGAACTTCATTGCTTGTAAAATCAACTAAATGCAATAAAAAATTGTCGTTTAATAGAGCAAACCTTTTAAACTTGGTTATTTATTAAACAAACAAAGTCATCCACGATTAACGCAGTGAAAAATCCACTAAATAGGGTCACTTTTAAAAATGTATACGGCCGACAAGTATACAGTGATGTTTTCAGTGATGTTTCCTTGCAAATCCAATACCAACATCCTAAATTACATTTCTGATTTACAGATACATACATGCGCACTGTATTCCCAATTTTCATGTCCAGACCTCCCCCCCCCCTTCTCCCCCAAGTAACACCTTGTAGGTTTACAACAATATAAGCACAACATTGTATTGGGGGGGGGGGGGTGAGTGGATATGCTTGTTATTGTGGTAGGAGTCAAATTTGAGCCACTGTAAACCACAGTTAATGCAATAAGTTTAATGCTCACCTTCAACAGTCGGGTATTTAGCAGTGATTTCCACTGTTTTAACACCCGGCAGTCTAGTAAGGAGGTCTTTCGAGCCATCTGGTACAACTAAAATGTCAAAAAAGAAATCTTGTGAATTCTTAGTTTGTTAAAACAAGTTACTGTGAGTAAAAGAGTTTAAGGAACATTCTAAACTCTAAACAAGGATTAAACAAGGATTAAACAAGGATTAAACCAGGATCCTAGAAATGTAGACTGGCGTACTATGGTTACTAATGTGCTGTACACTATGTGAACTTTAAAATGCTGAGAAACAAGCATACAGTATGCACGTAAACCGTGCTCTTGGTTCCATCGTATAATCTCAACAAATCCCGAGCTCGTGTAAACACTGAATGTGAAAGGCGGTTCACCTAGTATAATTTTATTTAATTAACATATTTTGTGCATGGTACCAACCTCGTACCCAAGCTCTTTCCATTACGCTCCTCACTGGAGGAAAGACCCTGGTCCAGGCTGGTCACGTGTCTCCCAGATTTTGGGAAATAACAAAATTTTTACATAAGGGGGGGGGGGGGGGGGGAGTTTGTTTTGTCGGGTGGCCGGACATTTTGCTGAAAGACACTTTGCCGAAAGACATTTTGCCGAAAGACATTTTGCCGAACGGACATTTTGCCGAACGGACATTTTGCCGAACGGACAGTTTGACGAACGGAAAATTTGCCGAAAATAGAGATATCTTCTGAACCTTAAAGGTTCGCTTACACGGTCAAAGTTTCTGTGATTAAAGTCATTGTCGATTTTGATGACAGAAACTTTGATAGTGAAGTATAGTTTCGTTTTATATTCTTTCGAGTTTTTGACAAATTTATAGAAATTTCCCCGAGAACTGTGAATGTATTCCATGATTGTCGAAGTGAAATTCACTTACGTCGTTGTCTGCATATCGTCAAAACACGTTCCTAACCAAATGATCGAGTCATCCGCTGCACAAAAAGCTACCAATAGTCAATATGGTTATGCAATGCTAACGACCATTATGCATTGCTAATGACCACATAATGGTCATTTTACACAATGGTTGAGAATTACACAGTTGAGAAATGAGTCACAGTCTCAAACATTTTGACGAAATAACATCTCTATTTTCGGCAAGTTGTCCTTTCGGTAAACTGTCCGTTCGTCAAACAGTCCGTTCGGCAAAATGTCCGTTCGGCAAAACGTCCGTTGGGCAAAACGTCCGTCGGCAAAATGTCCGTTCGGCAAAGTGTCTTTCGGCAAAGTGTCTTTCGGCAAAATGTCCGGGTACCGTTTTACCGATCTAGTTGAAAGCCGGATAGCGCTATGTACTGGATAGTGATTTTTTATATAAGAAAAAAATACAGTATGAAGCGAAGAAGTTAAGCGAAAATGCTGCAAATTTGACTCAGCCGTTTGACGCCATCCAGATCAGGTGTTTGTCAGATAAATTCCGTTGCGCGTATTAAGGTACAAGTTTTAGAAAGATATTGGTTCAAATGTTCTGAACAATACAAGATTCTGCCTTTTGTTGTTGATATAAAGCTAAATCCGCGGTTGTGTCGTCGAGTGCATGAGCTTCGAGAAGAACATCTATCGTGTACTAACGTTTTTTGAGTTTAATTTCAAATGTCCAGCCAGGCCTTATCACAACTTCGTCCCTTAGAATAATCGTTACGACGTATTTTATGAAAAATACATGCTAATAAAAACTTCGTTTCATGGTAGTCCTTTGCGTTGATTTATTCACACTCCTTGTATTGTTTTGAACTCCGAACCCGTTTAGCAACTCGAACGCCATATTTGCCTTCCCAACCCCCTATAAGTCCCAATTGTTATCTCCCAAAATCTGGGAGACATGTGACCAGCCTGGACCAAAGTCTTTCCTCCAACGAGGAGCGTAGTGGAAAGAGCCTGGGTACGAGGTTGGTATGGTATGTGTTAATGTGTAAAGTTCGCGTAGCACTACAAGAGGGTGACTGATATGTATCCAGCATTGGCGACCAGTATTAAGCGTACTGTACACCAGAATATTGAACATACGCGTGTATTATACCAGTACGTATGCATTGGAAGTAGTACGTGAGGGTATGTGCAATTTAACGACGCGGTACACTTGTCTATTCAACTCGATTAATTGGATGCTCAAAGCACACGTTTGAGTTTACATAGAATTATGCGTTCTATCTTAGATTATCTATACTTATATTACATTATTTAAATTAATGATTCTAAAAATCTAATGTTCTAAATTTGTAAAAGTCTTTAAGATGTGCTATGTGATAAAATTGAAAAGATATCTATTTACAAATGAGTTTTTGAATCTCTCAGTTCGTAGTCATGCGCTCTTTGTCTTAGAGTTCGATTTAGCTAGCCTGTCTACAGCCGTTACTCTCGACGAAGCGCGCGAGAGAACGTCTGTGAGTTGGATGCATAATCTTTGTTCAGGTCACGTGGATAGTTCCCAGATTTGGGGACAGGTGACCCAGCCCTTCAGGTTTCTGTTTGAGGGTCTGGCTAATAAAATTCTGGGTATGGCTAATACTAGTCTGCTCTAGTGAGGCGCCGGCTATTAATGAGCGGAGCAAGTATACAAACAGCGGAAACGTCAACAAATAAAAGAGAATTTTATTATGCGTTCATGACACTGTACACAGATAAATATAATCACTTAATCAGCATAATTTTCACTGTCAGTATCTGTGACATCGCTGTCTTCATCGCTGTCTTCTTTGTTTTTCAAACTCTCTTGTAAATGATTATCAATCTTCTCCGCCTCTTCAATTTCTGATTGTTCATCGATGTCTACAGTTTGTGTACTTGAGGATAAGCTTTTCTTTTGGACAACACTGATGAAACTGCGAGGACTTCCTCCATTAACTCTTGGTATTCTTTCGTTTTCAATGCAGGTCCATTGATGGAAATCATAAGTAAAGCATTCAGCAAGTCACTTTTCATGCTGCTTCTGGACCTTGTCTTAATTCTCTTCACAGCACTTGCTCCCCGCTCTGGCCATGCATTAGTTACTGGGGTCAAGACAAGTGCGAACTGTTCATCGTGTTGATAATCTTTGACAATTTTCCTAAGAACCCATTCCGTTGGGGAAAATTTTATCTTAATATTATTTGATTCAACATTATCTTTAAATTGCAGCCACTTGGTTTTCAATTGGAGAAGTTCATATTTCATATCTTTCCATTGTTCCAAGAAGTCATTTCCTATTTGTTGTTCCCGGTAAAAGTGCTCCTTGATTGCAGTAATCTCAGATTGTCCGTATACTTTGAAATCTGGAGCGTTGATGTCACCTGGCACTTGGGTTACATCAAAGACCGAAATTGATTCCAAGATCGCTAAAGAGTCGGGCGGAAAACGATCATCAATATTCTTGCAAATAGCCTTCGAATATTTCTTCACCCGTTCCTGTATAATTTTCTTGGATTGTAATGATTTTTCTGTGTAGGTGTAATGTAGTCAGGTGAATATGATGCTTGTGATGTTACTCTGAGTGTATATCCACACGGGCCGGGCAAGCTTGCGTGGTCAGGCATATTTTTCAAGCTTGCCCGGCCCGTGTGGATATACACTCAGAGTAACATCACAAGCATCATATTCACCTGAGTACATTACACCTACACAGAAAAATCATTACTGATTATTAGATTACATTGATATAGAAGGAACTAGATTCTGTTCCGAAATATCACATACTCGAACCGATCTGACCGCGTAGCTCAGTTGGCAGAGCATTGGGCTAGTGTTCCAAAGGTCGCAGGTTCGTTTCCCACCGTGGTCAGGCATATTTCTTGGATTGATCAGCCATTGATAAGTTGCACAATTGAAGCCTGCCTTTCAAGTCCTTTTCTAATTCTTTAATCACTTTGTTTTCGTTCACAATCTCATCTATTCTTCCCTTCGTACTCTGGATACTTGGGCTGATCCTGCAGAAGTTGAGATTTCCAGCTTGAAAAGTGCGACTTAAAGCTGATAAGTGTGGCAGGACGAATTTCAACAGATATAAAGTCCCGAGAAATTCAACCGAGTCAATCTTCTTTAAGAGCCCTTTAGCAGTGGAACCAGAATTTCTATCTTCTTGCATTGAACGCAGGGCATGGACTAACCCGACGTATTCCTGGCTTATCGAATCAACAGAGGCATTTAGACTCAACCATCTCGTTCTAACAGCTTTTTTCACCTTCCTCACCAACTTCTTTTTTTGCCTTTTTGACATTTAATAAATTATTAATACTCTGCTAATATACGTCAACTTGACAACTTATCATAACTGCACAGACTGTAGGCGCTGGCGAATTTTTCAGAGCCTCCGGCGAATGGCTTTAATTTTTTTTCTGAGCGCAGGCGAATTTCGCCGTTCGCCGGCCTCAAACAAGACGGGTGCAGGTCTCTGATTGGACAGTGCTTCATTTTAATAATTTATGATAAATGAAGCTATTTCATTGGTTAATTGATAATTAGCATGCATTTAAAATAATAACACAAAAATTTTAAATTCAGAGATTTCCAGATCAAGAATTAAAATTTCCTCCGGGGCATACAAAAGTTTGAAAGACTTGAAATACAATCTGAAAAACGATACACCAGAAATTATTGCATATATTTCTCGATGAAGAGATTTGTTTTGAATGCGAACAATGCTGAACGATGATCATTGCCGGCAAGTCCGGTGTAACAAGCTCAGTTCTTGGCGTACATATGGCGTATATTTGTTTACAAAGACAAAGTATTAAATATAAACACAACTGGTTATTCAAAAGGTGCATTTTAAAGTAATTAAAAGTTAACTGGCCAAGTAAGACGAAGTTAAACACATTATATGTAAAGAAAATGCTTTATCGCGAGGGGTCGGGACATATAAATTAACAGATTGTCAATTTATTAAATTGTCAATTATAAATTGTCAATTTCCGTCCGATAGTTTGTTGTATTTTATATATTTGTCAGCATTGTTCGCTGAGTGCCCAAACACTAGAATTTTATCTTGATTTTCTTAAACTTCGATACAGCACAAAATTAAATTTTGTATGCCCCGAAGGAAATCTTGATTCTTGATCTGGAAATCTCTGAATTTAAAATTTTTGTGTTGTTATTTTAAACGTATGCTAATTATTAATTAACCAATGAAATAGCTTCATTTGTCATAAATTATTCAAATAAGCACTGTCCAATCAGAGGCCTGTCCCCAAATCTGGAAACTATCCACGTGACCTGAACAAGGATTATACATCCAACTCACAGACGTTCTGTCGCGCGCTTCGTCGAGAGTAACGGCTGTACACAGGCTAGATTTAGCTTGTTGGGTAGAAGAAGGTATAACGAGGTTGAGATGATGAACGGAAGAAATGAACTACTGCAGACACTGCTGGAATGGATCAATGCTTATCTAGCAGATTCTTGCATGTTATTGCATGTCAACAACGGAGCTGCTTTCAAACATCGTTATGATGGTGCTGAAGATTGCATGCGGGAGAGGGTCAAACAGTCAGAAAAAGCTATCTAGTACATATGTACATACAAAATGTGTTCACAAATATGTGGACTTGACGAAACTTTACCGTGATCTGTAATATACGCTGCTGGTTTGAAGCCTACTTGATCATACCACGTGTTGGATTGAAGAACAACAGCATTGGATTTGCTAGTATCATCTTCAACTCTGAACAAATAAAGTTTGGCTAAAGTTATTTATGAGGTTATACAGCAGTCGTACTGTGTATTGAGAAATCCAAGTAGAGTTCCTATGGAGGCGTACAGTATACACCTATATGTCAAACAGATACAGTATGTAATCATGTTACAGTATACACACCAGTACAGTATATCTGCATGTTGTGATCAAAATTTGTTTAACTTCAGGTTTGTTCAAACGGACTTGTATTTTGATGTATGGCACACCAGTACAGTATATCTGCATGTTGTGATCAAAATTTGTTTAACTTCAGGTTTGTTCAAACGGACTTGTATTTTGATGTATGGAAATTAGTGACATTAGTCACGAGTCATGATTCGAGTCATTGCGCAACGTTTTATTGTTCTGAACACAAAAGCAGTTGTTCAAAAAAGCCAGTAAAAATCATGCACTATTCCGGAAAACTGTTTACTATCTGCATGATTCAATACACAAAGATTACAAACGACCAAGGCCGAATTTTGGTGGAAATAGTGGGGGAGGTGGAAAAAAATTTAGCGGAGGTGGAGCGGTCTAGCTCACGACCCCCATGGAAAGTTAGGGCTTAAAACGAGCTAAAGTCAACGACGTGACGTATGCATGTGGTGTACATATATGTATCAGTGTATTAATGAATTATGACTGTACAACTCATCCAAATTTGCCCTTCATTACAATTACTACAAAGTTTCTTTCGAAACATTGCATTAAAAGGGTATTTGACACAGACATGAATTGGCTATAACTGTTTCAATTTTACAGAAAAACGTTCTTACGAAGTGTAGACCCTAAGCAACCAAAAGGTGTCAAATTTTCACTTTGATCTTTCATTGAAACTTTCCCAAGGGGAGGTGTATGACTTTTCAGGGGAGGTGCACAAATTCTCAGGGGTGGTGCAAAACGACCTCGGGGGAGGTGCGCACCTCCCCACACCTTCAAAATCCGGCCATGCAAACGACAAACATTAATATTAAGGCTTTTTTTGGTTAAGTTTCTTAAAGTATCAAATTAAGTTCGAGACAAGTTTGAAATGTTATATAACAATAGACTGCAGCTGAATCTTTGACATACAGGTACAAGTATCAATTTCTTTTCTCCCAAAAACTAAATACAGAAATACAATATTGCAACAACATTATTACTAATACATACTTTATCGCAAAGAAGGAATAAGGTACATGAGCAACATGATTAATTTCATTGACCACTTGCCACTGACGTAATCCACCATCTCCTGCCACGGCAATACAGCCACCTCCTGGATAATTTGTACCACAAAATCATGAAAATTTGCCTTCTCCAAATGATTTTTTCAGTACGAGGATTTTTATTTTATATATAATTTAGTGGTAAGGTCATGCAAGCCGTACGAGTCAAACCAAAATGTTGAAAAAACCATCTCGACGAGTGGCCATCTGAAATTCAGCCTATTGTTTATTATAGGCGTAATGGTGGCACATTGTTTAGTGCACCTGCCTTTCACCGTTGGGGTTTGATTACTGTATGATGCGGTTTTCGTTGTTTTAGTTCTCATTTGTTATTATGTTCTTCAGCTAACCTCACCATCCTTACATCATATATGGTAGACAAGTGTATTTTTGCAGTCATGTTGTTGTCTAGTAGATAACTTTTAAAATCCTTATAAAATTCAAAGCTACCGTAAGCTTGGTGTGAGAAGGAGAGTAACTTCTCCAAGTGTGCATTTCAGCTAACCTGACCATCCTGACAAAATGTAGTAATGTACTGTATTTTTACAGTCATATTTTTGTCTAGAAAATATCCCATCATAAAATCCCAAGTGGTCCCAGTGGGACAGCAATTTCTCACAGTGCTAGCCTGCGTAGCGGCTATCACAGAAAGGACAGCCTGCACGAAACCCCCTGCTTTGCCGTATTTACTCGTTCTCTCAGAGGACGAGAAATCTGATTGGTTCAAAATGAAAAAAATATGCTAATTTATGCTAAAATTCATACAAATATGGCGGATGTATTATTGAGAAGCGTTTCTTTGATTTTTGTATTCAAAAGAGCTTAAAGCCACGATTTACGGTTCAACAATAAAGGTATTTACGAACTTGGCTCACGAAGCTCTAGAGATATTGACTGTGGTGTCTTCGTTGGATTGCTGTCTGTTAGCAGCGCCTCTTTCACAAGCGTACGTGTTCGTTTTCATCAATTCATCGTCGACATATAGATTTTTCTTCATGATTTTGTAGCTAATAATTTTGTGCCAGGAGAGAATTGCTGTATTTGCTTATGTCTTATGAACAGGACTTGCTCTCTCTAAAGTGATGGCGTTAGACACCTTTAATTAATATTCTCTTCTCTGCATCGCTCGAAACTTTAATAACATTTAATACATCACGGTTGACCGCTGTCGAAACTATAAATTATATTTGTACGTGTGCGAGAAAGCTACGAAATATCGTAGATATACGGACTGCAAACTACTTGTGACAACGATGGAGATTGCCCTAGGCCTAGTGCTATTCCCACAGACTTCAATTTTCTTTAGCCGACATCCGTATATCAGTTTCGTTTTGAAATTTGCGAACATACAGCAATCTATATTTATATTTCATTTTGACAAGTAAATTTGCAAACGTAAACAATCTGTGTGATTGGCCAATTTTGACATCTGTTTAAAGTGGGCGTAGCCCGCAGGCTAAGTGGGCAGAAATGGCAAAGCATGGGGTTTCGTGCAGGCTCTACTTTCCCTGAGAGCCGCTGCGCAGGCTACACAGTGCCTCATTGGCATATCTGTGATCATACACGTCAGCTGAACTCACCATTCTTATGTCATATATAGAAGTGTATGTTTGACTGTAGTCATGTTGTTATCCAGATAAATCTTAAAATCTCCTTATATAAAATTCAAAGCTATACCTATCGGTCCCAGAGGGAGAGCAACTGCTCGAAGTGCCTCATTGGCATATTTGTATTTTGAACATTGATCATTCACTCTGTAAGTAAAAACAATAAAAAAGAATTAAATAATCGTATACTGTAGTCAATAAGAACACAGACAGTGCTAAAATCCACATGTCTACAACTCCTCTCGGGAATTACGTTTCATAACTAAATTGCACTGACGTCAAGATACAGGACACCTTCAAAAATTGCAAATCATGTAAGCAAATCATGCACTCACATTTTCTCTGGAACAGTCCCATCCAGAATTGGATTATCAGGCATTGGTCTCTCATAGCAACACCATGGATCACTAGAAGTAGGAAATGTACTGAGAGAGGTAAATGTAAAAGGTAGAAATCCTTTATTGTAGCTGAATTATAAGGGACACATCTTAAATGTAATTGTGTTGAAGGCTTAACTAAGGTTGCCTTTGGCTTGCACTGCTGTATATAGCTCACATCAGAATCACAGTTAAGCTGCTGAAGGGTTTATCACTTCATTTTTTGTGAGGGAGGAAAACAGAGCAAAGACCCAACAAAGCATACTGCAAATACTGGAGAGAACCAACCAAAACTCTTCTTACATGAGTTTTCAAGCACATCAATTATACTTAGTCTATTTGCACGAGTTGTAATGTATAAAATTGGCCCAAATGTGCAAAGTAAAATTAAAGATGTCATATATTTAGTAAAGCCAAGGGAGAGGGGGGGAGGGTGCAACCCCCCCAGTCTTTCTCAGAGCACGGTCTATAGCTACAATGTTAGAAAATAATTGTAGGCAAGGAAAATTTCTCAATTCGTCGAAATCACTCCCGTATGTCGGTGGATTACATCATAACGTTCGATGTTATGTTGTATCATCTACACTCGTTATATTATTCATTTATAATGATCGACTTCCGTACATACTTTACTAATAGAGAGTTTAAGCTTCGCGTTATTCATCAAACAGCAAACGGCAGGCAAAGAAAAATTTTACGGTATCAAGCAATAAAGAGTAAATTAATTACTTGCTGTTTTACAGGTAAACTACGTGAAGTGTTCCTCTTTTGAGTTTCTAAATTGATTGCAATTTTCCTCATTACTTTTGCAATTTAAAAAATTCCCTTGCAAATTCCTTGAGGGAATTTGCAATGTTGCTAAAAGCCAAAAAAATTTTCCTCAGTTCCTGTTAGAAGTTCTTAACTTCCTGTTACAAGTTCCTAACTTCCTGTTCTGTTCTGTGTGTTGCAATTGGCTAACAAAAATAATCGACCAATAACAACGCTCAGAACAGAGCAGGAAGTTAGGAAATTAAAACAGGAAGTTAGGAAAATTTAAAATGAAGTTTGGAATATTGCAACAGCTGATAGGAACATTACAAATTCCCTGCTGATAGGAACATTACAAATTCCCTGCTGATAGGAACATTCCAGCTGATAGGAACATTCCAAATTCAAATTTGCAAAGCTAATGAGGAAAATTCCAAATGAGTTACGAAGTCAAAAGAGGAACGCTTCACGTAGTTTACCTGTAAAAGTGAAATACATAATTATTCTTTCGACGCAAGAAAGAAAATATGAAACGAAAATGTTCAATGAATATTTTGCCAAGAAAGTTCGAACCTGCTGTTTGCCATTCCCGGAAATGTGAAGCTTAAAACTCCCTAGTTAATTGCAACTACCGACATGAATGCCGAATGTCGAAGGAATTAAAGGTGATTTCATTGTGCACCTCAGCAAAAAAAGTGCCAAGGCAAACTAAAAAAATATTGAAAGACTTTGGCAATTAGTTGCCGAGGCAAAAATAGTTGAAGTACGAGTCCAGGTTGTATGTGTTGTATAAAACTATACACGTGACGTGAAAAAATTGAAGTTTCATTTAGACATGATTAAAATGGGTAGGGAAACTAATAGCTAGTACATAAAATATATTGGATATAACTACTGAATGTGGGATTTGTTTAAAAAAAATTAATGTATTTTTGACCTACCTAAAGCAGCAGGCAGGCTGGATATCACTAGCTGGACCACATTGAGCAGAAGGTTTTGTGACATTCTCAGTTGGAACTGCTTTTATGTGCAACACAAGTTCATCTCTCGATTTTGTACTACCAGCAGCTATTGCATATTTCCACTCCTCATCAGTACAACCCTGATGAAAACCCCGCAAACAGTATTTTAACTATGCGTTTTGTAGAGATCAATACAGTATATACATGCAAGCACTTTGGTCCACACTGCTGGTTTTCAATGACACAAACTGGCAGTGCAGCCCTGTACATGTGTGTATAAGTAATATACAACTTTTTAATTGTGAAACTGTTCACCAATACAGTATAACAAATTGATACTTTCAAATTTTCAGGGGTTTTTCAGGAGTTTCTGCTGGATAGAAGATTGAATTTAGGAAGGGGTTTAGGATCCATTGTAATACCCATCACATTACCCTTAATACAATGGCTCCTAAGCACAGCATTGCATAACATATACAAGCTACTGTACATAAACTGTGTGGATGTTCTTGTTCATGGTTTTTTTGTGCTGTGAAATGAATTGCATGCAAGTCTGACATGCTTTGCTAGGTGGTAAAACTATATCACCGTCACAAATTTCAGACAACTTAATTTTCACTGCACTGAAACTCTTGATGAGATTGACAGAGCATAACTCAACATTGAATTTCTGTAGCCATTTAACAGCCCAAAAAATCCTGAAAAAATTCTGCTTTGAATATGTGTGTGAAGGTGTGTTTCTTGCAGAGATGAACAGTTTGTAACTTTGTATGACGTACTGCTTTTAATAATTTGCAAATTTTAATAATTTTCACTTTTTTTATTAAATGTTTATAAAGATTAAGCTTGCATATTTATAAATGGAGAACTTACTGAAATATAATCAGCATCTTCGTCCAAGTATTGAAAAGCAAGTGAGGTAGTGAAGAAATTATTCACTTTTTCTTTAATTAATTCACACACATCAGACCAACTATAAATAAATATCAATACACTGTACTGTTTGTACTGTTTATTGCACACATGTTTCAATAGTCTCATCTTCATGTGGTTATTTCCTCATGTTTCATGCACAAAAGGGTTAAGGATAGGCTTCATGATTGGGCTCAAGACCAGATCAAAGGTACAGATATATTCATGCACAAAACATGGGGATATAACCTTCATATACACCTGCTATAAGACTTGTTTACACTTGCAATTTTTGCTGCAATTTTAGGTGCGATTTTCGTCTGATGATGGATGTGAACGAGTGGCAGGCACAGATTTTCTGGGGGCACCCCCCCCAGAAATTATTTGCACCCCCTCAAAGGCATTTGGCACCCCCACTAAATTTGTAAAATACTACTAAATTTACTACTAAATTTGTAAAATTACCAATATTATGATCTCAGATCTCGCCATGCAGGCCTAGAAAACAAATTTTGTTAAACTTTTTCCTTGGCCTTTCCGGGCGTTGCCACCACGCCCCGGCCAAAGAAAGCAGCAGCACCCCCCAGATATTTATCCACCCCCCCCCCAAACAAAAATCCGTCTCTGACAAGTGGATAAGTTATGAATGTTCAAATGAGGGAACATGTACTCCGAACATTTGTAACTCATCCATTCGTTCACATGCATCAGAAGGAAAAAATCCCACTACTGTAGAAATCGCATCAAAAATTGCAAGTGTAAACAGGCCAATACACTGTAACATTCATGTGCACATGGAGGGGAAAAAATAGGACAGGAACAAATTTTCCTGACTTTGATGCATTTGGCCCAACTTCAATTAGTTTGCTGGAGGGGGTTGCCACCCCCTCTGCTCCCTCCTCTAACATTTATGGAGAGAAGGGCATTTTTAAAACTTGCTTTGCAGCCCCCGACTTGCTTTGCATGCCAACCTAAATGCCGACATATCAACCAATCTTTTTTTGTGCTGATAGCTGTTAAAAAGTCAGCGATTACAGAATTTGATTCGTAGTTCGATTTACTAAACACACTTCGGTGTTTAAAATTTAAAAGTTTAAAGGTTTAAAATTTGATGTGTATTCTATATATAATTTAGGTCAGACTTCAAAAGAAAAGCTGTCGTGTTATTTTTCAATGATTCATAAATATGTGATTACCAGTGCTCCAAGACATGGAAACAGATTTTAAAAAATGCAGAGACGTGCCGACCTAGGTCAGATTTAGGTCGGCATTTTTTGACAACCTCAATTTTGACGGTTTTCGAGGGCTGGCTTTGTACTTTTCCATTTTCGTATGAATTTTACTTGCCCTCCCATTTTCTTCTGCCTTAATTTTCCCACCCACAAGCTCGCCCACAATTCCTCCCCCAAAAAACCAACTGCTATTCAGGCTACTATACTTTTGGGATTCAAAGATAATATTTTGGCATTATTCTTCTAATATATATAAGCTAGATTTTTTATTATTGAAAATGTATATATAATTTATTTTTGTAAATCCTATTTGTCAGTGTGATACAGTCATTTGTCCTGATAAAGAAATTTGCCTCAGCGTATATACTAAATGACTAAATCGACTATATTCGGTATTCGGTAATATCCCTTTCAGGGAAATGCATCCCTATTCCCTGACCATGGTGTACTGTAGGAATCAAACCATAGAGATGAAAGACAAAACTGTCTCACACTAATATGGGTCGTTCAGTCTCACACTATTAAATATGGGTCAGGGTCATTCCATTTATTATCCGCACCCCCCCTATGGATGAGCGGATTCCTACCGGTCAGATATTAGGACTTAGGGGATTCCTACTGGTCAGATATTGGGAATTAACAGATTCCTTTGGTCCGATTCCTACCGGTCAGATATTGCCGTCAAGGTGTAGCATACTATATTGCCAAATATTTATTATGAGAATCATAATAATTTCATTTATTATTCTCACCCCCCCCCCCGGTCTGACATTGGGAATTAGCAGATTCCTACCGGTGAGATATTGGCAATTAGCAGATTCCTACCAGTGAGATATTGGCAATTAGCAGCATTCCTAGGGTTTAGATTGATACTGTCGATTCCAACAGGGTACTTCTCTGAAATCCGATTCCTACAGGTAACATTTTTACCAGAGCTCATCCATAGGGGGGGTGCGGATAATAAATGGAATGACCCTCAGTACGAAGGGCCTTCGCTCGAAACGTCGAGTTTCTGCTTATTTTTTAAGGTAGTAATATAACCAATCAGCACAGCATTTTCAGTATTAAAAATTTTCAATATAGTTGAATTTAGAGTTATAACATAGTTAATACTGTCAAAAAATTTACATGTCGTCATGTCTGAATCACATGATGGTCACTAGCTAAGTTTTACATCTAGTACGTACCTTGTGTCTTCTTGGACATTGAGGGAAATACTTTGATCCGCTTCGAACACGTCAGATGGATTTACATGAACGTTAACACGGAGCTTTTGACTCATATTTTTCGGTCAAAAATGCTCCAAAAGAGGAAAAAATTGAAAATCATTTACCAAGTACCCAAACACACAGCTTCACTA